AAAAATATACATTATATAATATATATTATATATATAAAAAGCTAGTGTAAATGCTTCCATGGTGTGGTCACCAATTTGAAAGATGAACCTCCTTTCAGCTGTTAACCATTTTCCCATTTGCAACAGGTTTTAAAAAGTCATTTTTATCCTCAGACATAACATGAGTTTTCAGGATGAGGTTGCCAACACTGGCAGATGTGGTGACGGGGAGGCAACTTGCATTGCTAATGGACACTGGAAGTGGCTGGCTAAAGCAAGAAGTTACCGGCAGAATTGTTTTTTGCTCCTCCCTGAGAAGAAACAAATGACATTGAAAACAAATTAGCTTTAAGTTAGAACTTTTAAGACTAACTATACATGCTTAATAAAAGTTATTCAAAATCTCAGAGCCCAAAGCAAAGGCATGTCTTTACTGACTAAAAAGTTTAACAGGTCACTAAAAAAGTCCCATTTTCCAAAAATTATAATAAAAAGTTAAAATATTTGTTAATTTAAGGCCATACAAACTAAAGTTCAAGAATAAGCCCATATGATGGGAAAAGTGGCACCAATGCGGATGTAGTAAGCACAGCACAACCAAAGTAAAAATGAGTGAGCACATATGGATAGGTATAAGGATTCTGATATATGGGTAGGTACAGGTGTGTACATAGGTGAGAACAGACAGAGGATCTATTAAAAAACAAACAAACAAACAAACCAAACCCGTTGCCATGGAGTCAATTCCGACTAATAGCAACCCTATAGGACAGAGTACAACTGCCCCGTAGGGTTTCCAAGGAGCAGCTGGTAGATTCAAACTGCCGACTTTTTGATTAGCAGCTGAGCTCTTAACCATTGTGCCACCAGGGCTCCAACGTGTATATACAGGTACATGTAAATACAAATACATGGGTGCAGGCACATATATTCATTGAAGACACAACTATGGACACTCCTCAGACATAACCAAACACCTTCCTAGATTGGCTTTCTGGGCTTGAAAGCTTACGACCATGGTCTCATGGGACAACTCAGTCAACTGGCATAATATATAGTTCACAAAAATCATGATCTTCATCCTAGTGAAGTGAGTAGCATCTGGGGTCTTAAAAGCTTGTGAGTAGCCGTCTAAGACACAACTATGGGTCTCTACTTGCCAGGAGTAAAACAGTAAGAAGGTAACCAAAAGCTCAGAGAAGAAACAAGTCTATACAAGCCACAACCTCATCTACCCTGAGACCTGAAGAACAAGATGGTGCCCAGCTACCACCACTGACCATTCTGACTGGGGTCACAATAGATGGTCCCGGATAGAATGAGAGAAAAATGTGGAGCAGAACACAAATTCTTAAAACAAACAAACAAAAAAAGACGCCAGACAACAGTAGAGAACAGAGGACTCCTTGAGACTACTGCCCTGAGACACTTTTTAAACCTAGAACCACGCCTAACCCCTGAGATCACCTTTTAGCAAAATAACAGAGTGGCACACAAAATAAAGGATATTACCTGTAAGATCGGTGCTCTACTTAAAAACCATCTGTATGAGACCAAAAGATCAACAATTACTCAAAAGCAAAGATGAGAAGATGAGGGGACAAGGAAACTAGAGTATTAGAAATGGAATAAACAGAACAAAATTAAAGAGAATGTTGACACATTGTGATAAATGTCAGTGAACAATCTGTATGATAATTGTCAAATGGGAACCTATCTTACTGTATAAACTTTCACCAAAAATTCAATCAAATATTGTTTAAAAAAAAAAGCCCATAGTGGACTTAATTTTTGGCAGTATTTATACAAAATGGCAATATTAAAAGCCAGAAAAATCTTAACATGATTTTTAAAAAGGGAAACCCTTAATTTAGGTTTCAATTCTCCATTTTGTAGTCTAGAAGTTTGGCTACCAGGTTGAAGAAGTATAACCTGATGCTGGAACACAATGTCTGTTATCCCAACAAAAAGCAAGTTTCAGGGTACTAAAATCGACCACTTTGTTAGTTCACATTTACCTCTCCTCTCCTAAAAATCCAGACTGACCAAGTCCTTGCCCTATTGTATAAGGTCTTCCTCTCGTAGCATAAAGCCAAAAATGAAATTCAACACTGCATCTATTTCTCTTTAAATATTCATGCCCTATACCAACTGGTTATGAATTTTCACTCTAACACTCACAGAATCACATGGTCTTCACCTAAACTCTGTCTCTTCTGCTCTAGTGGCTCCTTTTGGTGCTGCTGAACTGGATGTCCATTTTCCACTGCTGTTCCATTCAGCAACTGATCATTTTGAGAACTGATACCAAGTTGTATGTCCAGGATCTCCTAAGAAAATACAATCTGTTAATCCTTCAGTATGAAAGTATTTTATACTTTAATTTCCAGTGGAACAAAAACTCCTAAATATAATTGTGGTACTTACTTCAATTTGTTCACCTTGTCCATCAGGTTCATCTGTATCAAGTGCTGAAAGTTCTAATTCAATATCCCTATCAGGCTTAGTATCTGTTGTATCTTCTGTATAATCATTCTGTAAGTTAAAAAAACTCATCTTACACCTGTGGAAACTGGGGTTTCCCTTTTAAATTAAAATGGGAATCCCAACAATTTAACTAGAGAAGTATTTAAGAAATCTGGGACCACAACTTTATTTCTACTCTAAGTTTTAAAAGCAATCATCTATCAGAAAAAGGCACACTAAAACGCATTAAGCTACGGCATAAACCAAAGTGCAAAAGTAGCAAACATAAATAGATTAAGCATGAAGCTTATAGGTTCAGTCTCTTTACCTCTCCATTTCTTAATTCAATTTCCTTGCTTAGAAGATTTAAAGTAAGATGACGACCTTCATCCAAGGAATTCCACTTCTGTTGCATGGCCAGAGCATTGGCCTCTCTCTGAAGAAGTAATGAGTTACTCTTGGCCTACAAGTGGAAAAAAAAAAGTAAACTTAGCTTTCGATTGCCATTCTATGTTTCAAAAATTCAAATCTGAGTGACATACAGCCTACCTGCTGAAGTTCAATGCTCAAAAGGTCTCCAGTACTGGAATGCTTTCTATGTCCAGATAAATCAGCAACAATGAATCTGTCCCTTTAAAGAGAAATATTTTTATTGTAATAAAAATGAAACAAAGGAAGCAACTAAAGCAGTAATGACTATATACGTTTATTTAATAAAACAACCCTGAAAATTTTGGTCATCATTCCAAATGTAAAAGTAAAATACTTTCAGAAATTTGTTATATACCTCAAACAAGCAAAACACAATTTATGAACAATTGGGGGTAGGATCTGTTCTCTGAGGATAGGTACAAGTCTGAGAATACAGAATCTTAAAGAATTAAGAGCAACATTACCGTTCAACATAGTGTGCTGATGACGTGACCTCATTGCCATATGAACTCCACCTTGAATCAACAGCATTAACATAAGGGACATAATCTATAGAAATGTCGAAAGAAACAATAATCACAAAAGTGAAAAATGAGTATACAGATGTGAGTGTATACTTATCAATAAAAGATCTGCAGTATATCCTACTTGCCATGTGATCCCAATTAAACTATTTAATTCTGAGTTTACTGTGGTTGTTAAATGAAGGGAAAAGTTCTATACCTCACAGTGTGAGTATTATAAAGCACAGTGCCTAGAGCATTATCAGGCTAGGTATTAGTTAAACAGATTACCTGATACGCTGATGGGCTTAGTCGCACTTCCTTGGGAAGCAGTGGCCTGGACAGGATCTGTGGTATGGTAACCTGTACGAGAAGATCTGGAAATTGCACCCCATTTTGAGATGATAGGTCCGTCACTAAAAGGAATTATTGGGTCTTCTTCTTTTGCTCTTCTCTGAGTTTCAAATAAATGTACTCTTCTCTTAACATCTCCACTGTCCAGGTCCTAAATAAGCCAAAGAAAATCAATGAAAGGACTCTGGAGACTTACTTCAGCTAATTTACAAATACATGCTAGTAAAAGACATGTAATTAAGTTGTCTGGTAAATTTAACACTAGACTCTAGATGTCAGTGATAATCCAACATCTGTTTTAGACCACCAAATTATGGTCAAATAGTTTAAATGTTAAACGCAATTTATTCGAGACATACCTAAATATAACCCTCCTGCTTACAGATGAGTTATACAGTGATAATATTAAGATGAAAGCATTCAACTACTCTTCAACTTGAGTCAACATGCATTATTTCCCCCCAAAATCATACCATTAACACAGCATTTGAATTAGCAATTACATCTTTGGGCTCTGAATCGATGGCATTTATACAGGAACCTATGGTGCCACAAGACCAGGGAGAATAATGGGAAAGATGATCTTCTTCAAATTTTGTACCACTCACACTCTCAGAGAACTGATTAGCGAGGAAAAAAAAGCATAGTCAATTAGTTAGAACTTAAATTTACAAACTTGTAACTACTATAAAGTAACTATTATAGAATACACAGGACTTCACACTGAAAAATTATACTTCCAATAACTAATATAAAAAACTGTCATAAGCAACAAATATTTATACTATTTTTATTTATATTATTTATTAATTGAAAATAGCATTCCTTCTCTTTTTGCTTTGTCCTTTAAGTACTCACTTAACCCATGACTGATGCTATCAAACCAATCAATATGTATTTGTATCATGCATCTAACATGGTATAGAGTGCTCTAAAAAACAGGGAAAAAAGGCAAAAGAAAACAAATACACACACACTATGTAGTCCGAAAACCCTGGCGGCACAGTGGTTAACAGTTTGGCTGCTAACCAAAGGTCAGCGGTTCGAATCCACCAGGTGCTCCTTGGAGACCCTAGGGGCAGCTCTACTCTGTTCAATAGGGTCGCTATGAGTCGGAATCGACTCCACAGCAACAGGTTTATATAGTCCCAGTCCTAAAAGAGTTCATAATTTTTTTTAAGAGTTTATAATTTTTTGAGAAAAGAAGAATAAGCCATGTAAATAAAACACACATGATAAATCATGTAGTATTCAATAAAGTACAAAAGAGAAGGCTCTGAAACTACACAGGGAAGTGGATAAATCTAAAGGGACCCTGAGGAATGATTATTGTAAGACCAGAATACTAACCTCGTAAGAATCATTAAATCTAGATTACTAATTATACAGATAAGCAAACTTAAGACCAAAAAGGTTAAATAACTCGTTTCAAGTCACACTGCTAGCCAATAGCAGATTTGTGTCTCAGAGATATGTTTATTTCCTAAAAACATAATATAAAAAGTGAAATACTTTTTTTTTTTTTTTCAATCAGGCAAGTAGCAACTCTGTCACTGTTTCAAAACGTTTAGATGCTTTGAAGAAGTCTTAGTTTGGTTAGATGTATTTGGGCCTAGTTTAAAAATTCAATGGTTTATTGAAATACTTACAGATAAAATATGATGTTTAAGGTTACTTCAAAATAATCCAATGGGAGGGGGTATAAATAAACAAGATTGGCTATGAGTTGATAATTGTAGAAGGTGGGTGATGAGTAATGGGGTTTATCATACTATTCTCTCTACTTTTGTATATGTTTGAATGAAAAGATTAAAAAAAATGTTTACATTAGAACCTCTGGGGGTGAAAGGGTGTGTAATAAAGAGGAAACTGTTACAAAAATTTAATGGTTTTCTCTAAATATAACAGTACTGAAAACACGAGGGTAAAGAGAAACCACCCTTACACAAAAAAATTTTTTATGCCAAGAATAATAAACAGTGATGTAAACAACATGAATACTACAGACGGCATTTCTGTACCTCTTGTAAAGCAGGGAAGAAATGCCTCAGATAGACCAGGATTCAAATCCCAGGTCTGCTACGAAGAGGCTGAATAATCTTGGGCAAATTACTTAACTTCTCTGGGTAAGATTCCTCACTTGTAAAAGAGGGATAATACCTGCCCCCTAAGGTTTTTGTTTAAGAATTAAATAAAATAGAATTATGTAAATTTTTAGTGCAGTGCCTGGCACATGTAGGTGCTCAATAAATGATAATTACAAATCTTATTATTAATAAAAACCATACAAATAATGAGAACTACACTGCTGGGAAAAAATTCTAAATTCTTGGTGAAAAAAGGACTATACCTTAATGGTCTTTAGGGTCTCACAACACCTTAGCCATAATGCTTACACAGCATTTATTAAGTAAACTCAACTGCACACCAAATCACTGATAAACAGCCAACATAGCTACCCTGGTTTAAATGAGTGCTCTGAAGCCAGTTGTTTGACCTATCTCTGTCATTATCAAGTGATTAAAATCTTTCTTACATCAGTGCGAAAGTCTACAGCGAATAGAGGAGAAGGCGGTGTTGGTGACTGTGTTGCCACAGGAAGAGCTGAAGAGACAAGAGGTGCTTTCTGAGTGTGGTACTGTGCCCACTGCTCTGGCTTTCTTCTTATCTGCTCCTCGTAACTGGTCTTCAAATGACCACAAGGTTCCTAAGTGGGGGATAAAAGAAACAATCTTAATCATCTAGGGGGCAGTGAACAAATTTAACTACCTCTGTAGAAATAAAAAGAGTTTATTATTTTGTTGGGACAAAAAAAAAGGGGGGGGGAGGGGCTGGGAAGTCATCCTAGCCTATTTATTCTCCACACAGTTAAGAAAAAAATTAGTATTTATTCATTTTTCTGGTTTAGAAAGGGCATTTGTAAAAACGGGGGGATACTGAAAAAAGGCCCTATGCTTGTATTTTGAAGACCTCTTTCTGCGTTCCCATTAGCTTCCTATCCAAATATAACATTTATTGAGCATTAATCTGTATCAGGCTTTATTTTATAAGAGCTTTATTTTTTCTGATTTAATCCTCATGGCAGCCTTATGAGGTAGGTGTTACTATTATTTCCATTAAACATGAAAAAACTGAGGCACAGAGAGGTCAAGTAACTTCCCTAAGTCACAGAATTAGTAAGTGGAAGAGCCCGGATATATAAAATTGGTGGTTTAACTCCAAAGACAGCATTCTTAATAGCATTCCTATTTCCATCATCACTTACCCTTGGTAAAGGCACGGTTGTCCTTGGCTCACTTGGTGGCTGACAAGCCACTGAATAATACCCATCTAATGAGTTGTATCTTTCCCGCAAAGGCGTCTGATAGACAGACGAATGCATCACATCCATTGGAGGTAAAGAATTGCTTCTAATAATGTCATCTCGTTGGTACATAGGTGGGCGCCAGATGCGCCTGCTGTCATACACAGGAGCATACATTCCAGAAGGTACTGGAGGAACTGGTCCATACGGCTGCGGAGGAGGAGGTTGGTAAGGAGAAGAATTCATTCGATCTCGAGGGGAAAATGTACTGTAATGATCGGCATACGGCACGGAAGCAGGTGGGAGGGAGGACTCTGGTACATTATTGGACCTCACAAAGCGAGGAACGCAGGGAGCCACACCAGCTGGTACCGTTGGAGGTGGTGGGTAGTATCCTTGAAAATTGGAAACAGGAATATTTAATGTGATCTTAGTAAAACTCAACATTTTATAATGGTTTAAATCTAATGCAGTCTTTAACATGGAAAAATAAAATGAACTTTAAACTTTAGTTACTCTGCTTCATAAGGAAGCTACTTACTTTCAAGACACCACTATATGAAAATGCTCAATACCTTGTTAAATTACTTCTTAAAAATACATGATAGAGCTATTAACAGATAGCTGGTAAATTTGTTTCTACGGTACTTATTGTAACAGGTTTTGGATTAAGTAATTAGATCACTTTTTTTTTAAAATAATTTGTTGTTGGAAATATAGACAGAACATAGATCAGTTCAACAACTTCTACGGGTACAGTTCATTGACACTGATTACATTCTTCAAGTTGTGCAACCATTCTCAAACTCGTTTTCTGAATTGTTCCTCCCCAGTAAACAAACTCACTGCCCCCTAGGCTTCCTATCTAACCTTTTGAGTTGCTGTTGTCAATTTGATCCTATAAAGTGCCCAGTGACCATTACTGAGTGTTCTGGTCAAAGATTCTACAGAAGAATCCTGATCAAAAGGGGGAAAATTTCAAATTCCCATGGAACCCAGACTTTCTGGAGCCACGGTGGCTGGATGAACCTCTGAAAACTATTGCCCTGAGATAATCTTTAAAACCTTAATCTTAAACCAAAAATATCCCCTCAAGTCTTCTTTAAACCAAACAACAGTTTAGCTTAACTAGTAGAGAATGTCTCTCTTGAGCATTGGGATCTTTTAAAGAATTATCCATATTGGATCAAAGTGACAACAGATCATTGGTTCTTAACCTTTTAGGAGTCAGAGGTTAAAGACATTTTTCAGAATCTATATAAGCTGTGAAATCTCTTTCCAAAAATGTACATAAGCATAAATAAAATATTTTCAGGAGATTTACAAAGCCCCTGAAGCTCATCCATTGATCTTATATTTGATTCACAGGAATGGCAACCTTAAAACTATTGGTATCTAGAATCACAGATTATTACGATAGGAAGAAAACATTGGGGTCATGTAATCCAAGGGATTATTATTTTTTTTTTTTTAAGTAGACGTTCTTAGATAAATTGACCCATTTATCTAAGGGCAACAAATGCTAAATTACAATTTCTGTTTTCTTACAACTGTCTAAAATTACTTACCAGTCTGTGCGTATTGTGGTACTTCAAAGGGTATCTGAGTCCTTGGATCTTGAAAATACTGAATGTTTTCAGAATGCTGAGGATATATTGGTACTCTAGTTACAAATGGGCTGGATTTTGGAGGCACAGAATTCAGCTCTGTTCCAACATTAGGGGGCCCAGCTGAGGTAACTGCTATATTACTTACAGGAGTCTTGGGTGGAGAACCAATTTTACTAGGGAGAGAATTTAACAAAGAGGGATAAATCACTATCTATGACTGACAAGTTTTCCTCAGCAGGAATTTTTCATAAAATTATATAGTGAAACAATTTATTAAAAAAACACTTTATACTTTTCTATAATGATAAATAAAGCAATGAATTTCACTGCCACCTTACATGGTTAATTCACAGAGTCACAGTATCAGATCTCATTTTCTGAGGAGGGCAACAGGCAATGCAAACAAATCCTAGGAACTAATTTGACCCCTAACTCCCTTTTTACCCCTTCTTAAAGATTTCTCCTACTGGAAATTTAAAAAAAAATTCCTATTCAATAAATTCCCAACAGAAACAATATAGTCTGCCAGAAGAATTCTTGGGGGCAAAGAAGACAGACATGGAAAGAACGAACTGTTCTATTAAGAGTCAGATCAGCTAAAATGTAAACTCCTGAGGAAAGGCCATGTTCACACATTTTGTTAACTGCTATATCCCCAGGATTTACAACAGTTCCCAGCATACAGCAGGCAGAAAGGTACTCAGTAAATATTCATTGGGTGAATGAAATAGTTGCACCTGGAAACTCATTACATTTATGCAAAATACACAAACCTTTTATCTTGCTCACAATAACCTTTTTTTTTTTTTAAATACACAAAAGGATTTCCTTTGTTGAGTCACCAACTAATCAGCTCCAGAGGATCTCATCTTGGTTTTCTTATTCACTTTTAAACAGTCAAACTTTGGCCGAGCTTTAGATTTGTGGTGATTCAAGAAAAGGATCTTGTTAATGACACAGATTTCCATATCTTGTATCACAATCAGATTAAAAGGTTTTTCTCAAACTAGAGAAATCCTTTTAAGGCTGGAGTATAAACAACAAGGAGTATGGGCGGCCCTTAAGCCTAGCCCAGCAGATCAGTCTAGTGGTTGTTTACTTCTATGTGCAATTGTGTATTAAAATATAGAAATTAACAAAGGATCTGTGAGTAATAACATTAGGTACAGATGTATTGGCTTAGAGTTTAGAGAGATTTTAGGGCCTTGACTACTCTTTGAAGTTAAAGGCAATAAGGAAAATGATTAGCACTTCTTTATAACAATAATTAATATTTGGCAGTTACCACATTCCAGGCATTATGCTAAGTGCTTTACATAGATTATCTGTCCCATCCTGTCAAAATGTATGTACCATAAAATTTCAGTCAGTAGTACTTTTAAATAGAAAATTCTAAATACTAAATACTAAATACTACTAAATACTAAATTCTTAGAATTATCAGGAAAAAGGCATCAAAATCCATGAGAAAGTAAACATTCATAGCCTCATGAATTTCATGATTCTAAGTGTTCCTTTACAATAGCCCCTCTCATACCTACATGCCTATGCTGGTGCTGTTTCCTCTTTTTGGAAGCTCCTTACTTCCTTACTACCCATTCTTCTGGAACTAGCTCAGGTATCATCACCTCACGTCTAAGAAACCTTGGAACACAACTCCATTACAGTACCTTTTACGGTATATTATCTGTTCACATGTCTGTCTATTCATCTAGACTAGAAGACTGTAAGAGGCAAGGACTATATCTAGTTCATTTTCATTAGCTATACCAACTAGGGGGCCCTGGTGGCACAGTGGTTAAGTGTTTGCCTCTAACCAAAAGGGGAGCAGTTCTACTCTGTCCAAGAGGGTTACTATGAGTCAGAATCGACTCGACGGCAATGGGTTTCGTTTGTTTTTTTAATACCAACTAGACTGGTGTTTGGCACATTGGAGGTGATATGTAATTTTGAATGATTAAGTAAATGCTACGTTTAGATTCATTTTTTAAAGTTTTTTCCTCCAGTCCATCATATTTTTACAAATTGAGATATAATTCACATACCATAAAATCTACCCTTTTAAAGTGTACAATTCAGGGGGGGTTTGGTATATTCACAAGGTTGTGCAAGCATCACCACTACCTAGTTCCAGAACATTTTAATGACTCCAGGAAAAAAAAACCAAACATACCCATTAGCATTCACTCCCCACTTCCTCCACTCCCTGGCAACCACTAGTCCACTTTCTGTCTCTATGGATTTGCCTATTGGGGCATTTCATGTAAATGGAATCATACACTACGTGGCCTTTTGTGTCTGGCTTCTTTCACTTAGCATAAAGTATTCAAGCTTCAACAATGCTGTAGCTAAATAATTCATGGCTGAAAACCATTCCATTGTGTGGATATGAAACAGTTTCACAACATTACCTTACCAAAACCTTTCAAAAGTTCATTTCCTGAACATATACCTTCAGGTCTAAAAAGCTGGTCTTCTCCACATTCCATATAACTACCAACAAACTTGATTCAAGTTTTCCTTTTCTGAAATCTTCTCCCATATCTCTCCCAGCAATATAAAATTTTACTGTCCTTTAATAAAATCTCAGTACTGCTTCATTTGTTTAAATGCTGCCTTCACAACAATATCCTCATAAGCACCTTAAAAGCACAGATATCATCTTATACTTCTCATGTATTTCCAATAGTGCCAAGAATAGAGCTCAGAATGAGCGCACACATAACTTTTGTTAAAGACAATATTCTCCAATATATCTTTTCTAAAATCTCTCCCAGGGAAGATCATAAGGGTCCTTTAATAAGCAGTTTCTATTACCATATGCTGACTACAGAAGTAGAGAATATGAATATTTATCTGTCCATCATTTATTACATGAAATCACAGTTTACGGTGAGCCCAGCATAATGCTATACTCATAGCAGGTGTAAAATAGATAATGACAACTGGGCAACAAACACTGAGCATGCCCTGAGATTTAAAACCCCAAAAGAATATCAAAGCATGAGATTTTTGAGTTGCAAGTAACTTTTCAGATCCTCTAAAAAGTTTTTTTAAAGCATCAAAACTTTTTTGCCAAATGAAATTGTACACTGAAAGCCAGTAACAATACTGACAACACTAGTAATAACAACAACAGATATTTATTGAGAGCTTCTTATGTGGCAGGCATTGTTCAACACAACCAACATATGAAAACAGATACAACCATTATTCTAACTTTATGGATGAGTAAAATGAGGACAGGCACAGAGAGATCAAGAAACTTACAAAGATGCAACAGCTAGGAAGCAGTGAGTCAAATCTGAACCCAGAGAGCTCGGCTCCAAAGTTCCCCCTCTTAACAACTACACCTCATTAGAGAACATAAATAAATTGGAACTGCTCTGACTGAAACAGGGCCTAGAGGCTCAGCATTTCATCAGTTTAGGTTCTTGATTAGTTCCTCTCCAGAAACTCTATGGTAACAATCCTAAAGTTCAAGGAAATATGGGGTGAAAAAAACCTTCATCTGGTCCAACCCTTTCAATCTATAGTTGAAGAAAACAAAACCCAGAGTTGATGTGACTTTCCAAGGTCATGGAACTATTCAGTTGCAGAGTGCAACAAGAACTGAAATTTCTTGATAGTTAGTGGTTTTTCTACTACATCAAACATTCTGTATACAAATTCCGCTTCTCTTCAGGATAAATAAAAATACTCAGGGGTTTCTAAAAAGGATAAAGAACCATATTAATGATTTTTACCAAATACCTACTTTTCAGTTACAGACTCTGCAGAAGGCCCAGCAGCATTCTGACCATTAGTGCCAACTTTCCCCACTTTCTTCACGGTCTCCAGGCCTCTTAATGTACTGTCAGTACTACGTGGGATTAGTGGAGAAACACTGTTTTCTGCATTTGTAATTCCATTTGTACTTGGAACAATTTTCCCAGTTGTTTCAGTACTTCCTATGACAGAAATGACATTTCCGGCTGTGGTTGTGACAGTGTTGTTTACACCAACTTTATTTAGAAGAGGAAATGTTCTTACAGTTGCATTGATCTTTTTGTTCCTTAATCGATACCTGTTTCAAAAACAATCAATGTATCGATGAATAGTTCACTAAACCTTACTCTGAAGGGGGGAAAAAAGGCAATAAGGTAAGATTAAAAAGGATGAAACAGCTTTGAAAGAAGTTTCTTCGGTTCAATATCTAATGTAGTCTACATGAAACTACTGTGATAGATGCCACATGAAAATATAGATCATTCACATATATATCGTATACATCTGTATGTAAGCATATAATATGGCAAAGTATACATATATTCTAAGAAGCCTTTTGAGAGTGTGGAAAGAAATCTTTTGAAAATTCTATACAACTGGAATATAAAAATGACAGGAACCAGTACCAAATTTAGTTGGAAACATAGAATGAAGAGAAAAAGCAGGCAAGAGTTGAAAGCATACACTGCTCTTACCAAACTGTGGAAGTATTATATAATTTTCAAGGAAAAAAACAAAAACAAAACTCATTCTTAAACAAGTGCAACACTAAAATATAGAAATTTAGTATTATATTTTACAGATTAGTTTATGCCTAAAGTAAAAAGCATTCAGATTAAAGACTTTTCTAATAATAAGTTTCACTTATAGTGACAAGATGTAGTACTCTGATATATGATGCAATTCAATCTTGAACTCCAAGAAAATTGGTTTCCACTTGTGTAACAAAAATTTCATTCAGTGTTCCCTCCAATACTTTAAAGTGGTGAAAACTTATGTTACATGAGTAGAAAAGAATATTATACACATTTGGAGTCATGATTACATATACCTAAATTAATCTGATACTAATATATAATCAAACATATGGTAATTAAGTATAAATAGTATTAGTGATTAACAATACTTTCACAGTAGTTTCCCTTTTAGTCCTTCAGTATCTATAAACAGCTTCATTATTTAATCCTCTCACACACACACACACACACACACACACACACACACACACACACACACACACACACACACACACAGAGGCTGGTGAAGCTTAAAAAGAAAAATGTTCCCAGATCAGAGTGGCTCAAGGTGGAGTGACAGAAAATGAAGTGGAACAAAACAGGTTATGGCCAGTTTACATATGTCATCTTGTAAGCACTGGGGAACCAATGATTAAGGAGGAGAAACATGAGTAGACCTGTATTTTAGAAAGGCAATTCAGGGTCATGGAGGGGCCCAAAGATCCCTGTGCTTTCCTCCACATGCTCTCTGAAATCTGCTCTTCATTCTTCACTTCAAAGGTACCTTACACAAAATGCCCAGTGGCTCGCTGCTTTCCATCCTCAAAGGACAAATCTCGGATATACGTAAGTTTGGAAAAACACTCTAGCAAGCAAAATATAAAGTTCTGATTATGAGCCTAGCAGAATCACAACTCAAAAGAAAGGAATTATGAGAAGTAAAACCTTAACCAAAGGAGGTAAAATAAGTGACACACGGGGATACATATGAGACTGCTAATATCTGGGTAAATGAAAGTACTTCCTACTCAGGTAGGAACACTAGGATTTAGAATCTGGATCTCACATTTGAAAAAATCCAAGTACTCCCTATTCTTTTTACTATTTTATTGTGCAGAAAATATACACACCAAAACATTCACCAGTAAAACTTCCACATTTACAATTTAATCACATTGATTACATTTTTCATGTTGTGTCACCATTATCACTATCCTTCTCCAAAATATTCCACCACCATTAACATAAACTCAATGCCCCCCAAACAAAAACTTCTCCTTCACCCTTCCCTCCCATACCTGTTAATCACTAATAATCTTTAGTTTCTACGTATTTGCTTATTCCATGTAAGTGAGGTTATACAGTATTTACCCTTTTGCAACTGCCTTATTTCACTCAGCATGTTTTCACGGTTCATCTATGTTGTGGCATGCATCAGAACTTCATTTCTCCTTCTAGCTGCAGAATATTCCACTGTATTTATATATCTCATTTTGTTTATCCATTTATCTGTTGATGGACATTTGGGTTATTTCCACCTTTTGGCTATTGTGAAAAGTGCTGCAAGCAACATGGGTTTACAGGTTTCTGTTTGTATTCCTGCTTTCACTTTTGCTGGGTATACAGCCAGGATTGGGATTGCTGGGTCATACGGTAATTCTATGTTCAGCTTTTAGAGGAACCACTAAACTGTTTTCCACAATGGCTATACCATTTTAGATTCCCACCATGTTATGGACTGAATTCCAAAATCAAACCAAACTCACTGTCGTCAAGTCGATTCCCACTCATACCAACTGCACAGGACAGAGCAGAACTGCCCCATAGGGTTTCCAAGGAGCAGCTAATGGATTCAAACTTCTGACCTTTTGGTTAGCAGCTAAGATCTTAACCACTGTGCCACCAGGGCTCCATGGATTGAATTATATCCCCCAAAAATATGTGTTGTAAATCCTAACCCCTATGCCTGTGGTTAGAATCCCATTTGGGAATAGGTTTTCTGTTACGTTAGTGAGGCAGGATTAGTATAGTGTATCTTGAGTCAATCTCTTTTGAGATATAAAAGAGATTAAACAAGTGAGCAAAGCGGAGATGGGGGAAGAGAGATGTCAAGACGCATGAAGATCTCCAAGGAACCAGGAAACAAGCAGAAGAGCAAGGACCTTCCTCCAGAGTTGAGAGAGAGAGAAAGCCTTCCCCTAGAGTTGGCACCCTGTCTTTGGACTTCTAGCCTCCTAAATCGTGAGAAAATAATTTTGTTAAGGTCACCCACTTGTGGTATTTCTGTTATAGCAGCAATAGATAGCTAAGACAGCCTTGAAACCAAGAGAACAAATCCCATGGGGTGATTAACCAAAACCAAAAACCAAACTCGTAGCCATCGAGTTGATACCGACTCATAGCGACCCTACAGGGCAGATGAGAACTGCCCCATAGAGTTTCCAAGGAGCACCTGGTGGATTCCAACTGCTGACCTTTTGGTTAGCAGCTGTAGCACTTACCTACTATGGCACCAGGGTTTCCGTGAAGTGATTGGTTATGTCTAATTAGTATCAGCATCTATAGACACCCTTGATCGGCAGCTGTCTCCCAACTGATCTTGTTATTTCCCAATGCTGACCCCTTCTCTCATTATTCCCCACAAAACAGAAAATCTTTTAAAAACACAGATCTACTTACGTCCCTCCTCTGCACGTAAGTCTTGAATAGATTCTCATTGCCCTGAAGATAAAGATATAAAACCTAAATTGTGGCCTATAAGACCCTGCATCATCTAGCTTGTGCCTACTTCTCTGATCTCTGATATCACTGCTGATCTTGGTAAGAGCCTTTTCAGTTGAATAGTGAAATTTTTTTTGGAGGTGGGGGGAGGGGTTGTTGTTCTTTGCCTACTTTTTGATTGGGTTATCTTTTTGTTGTTAAGTAGAAGTTTTATACATATTTTGGCTGTTAGGCCCTTCTCTGATATAGGGTTCCTGAAAATTTTCTCCCAATCTGTAGGTTGTCTTTTCAATTTAACGATAAAATCCTTTGATGTACAAAAGTATTTAATAATTACGAGGTCCCATCTATCTATTTTGTCTTTTGCTGGTGGAGCTTTTGTTATCATATCTGATAATCCATCATTAAACACTAGGTCCCACAGCCTTGCCCCTACACTTTCTTCTAATAATTTTATAATTTTAGTCCTTATTCTCTTAAAATTATCCACGCGTTCCTTCAAGTGCTCATGACCTTCCTACCTAGCTTAGGATCCACTATCCACCATTAAGCTCCCCTGAAAGTATCTTTAACTCCCTTGGTCCACTCCCTCTCTGTTGAATTCACCTGGTAAAATCCCAATTTTGGTTAAACCCAATTTTTCACTTACTTTGTGTCTGCTCCTAAGCAGCTGAGTATGCTGGCCACACACTGTCTTTCTTACTAAAACAAGCAAGGAAGAGTTCCTGTTCCTAACTGAACCCAATCTTACCACTTGGTTCTAAGGCTAATCCTTCCACTTGAACCCCAGGTCCCAAGCCCATCTTAAAGATTTCATTCCAGTAATTATCTTTTTTCTCTCCTACATCGTAAATTTCTCCCTTTTCCTGTCATTACCAACACATGATTTACACTAAGTATCTTAAAAAATAAAATCCTGCCCATGTTCCCTTTCAACTATATTCTATTCCTCTGCTTCCTATTACAGCTAAAGTCCTTAAAAGAATTGCCTGTATTCACAGACTCTGGTTTTTACTACTCATTTTCTTATCAACCCAGAAAAATTGGGTCTTTGTTCCCACAACTCAACTGAAAAGGCTCTTACCAAGATCAGGAATGATATCAGAGATCAGAGAAGTAGGCACAGGCTAGACGATGTAGGGTCTTATAGGCTACAATTCAGATTTTACATCTTTATCTTAGGGGCAATGAGAATCTATTAACATCCACAGGAGTGGCATAAGTAGATTTGCGTTTTTAAAAGATTTCTTTCTGTTTTGTGGGGAATAATGAGAGAAGGGGTCAGCAATGATAGACATAAGATTAATTAGGAGACAACTGCAGACCAAGAAGGGGAGACGATAGCTTGGACTATAAAAATGGAAAGAAGAGATGTGAGTTAAATATACTGTTGTTAAGTGTCATCAAGTTGGTTGCAACTCATAGTGACCCTATGTACAACAGAACGAAACACTGCCTGGTCCTCATGATCACTGTCATGCTTGAGCCCACTGTTGTAGGTTTTCCTCTTTTTTGCTGACCTTCTACCTTACCAAGCATGATGTCCTTCTCCAGGGACTGGTCCCTCCTGATAACATGTCCAGAGTATGTGAGACAAAGTATCATCATCCTTGCTTCTAAGGAGCATTCTGGCTGTACTTCTTCCAAGACAGATTTGTTCACTGTTTTGAAAGTCCATGGTATATTCAATATTCTTCACTAACACTACAACCCACAGGTGTCAATTCTTCTTCAGTCTTCCTTACTCATTGTCCAGCTTTCGCATGCATATGACACGACTGAAAACACCACGGCTTGGGTCACATGTACCTTAGTCCTTAAAGTGACATCTTTGCTTTTTAACTTTCAAGGGGTCTTCTGCAGCAGATCTGCCAAAAATGTGTCATTTGATTTCTTGACTGCTGCTTTCCTGGGTGTTGACTGTAGATCCAAGTAAAACGAAATCCTTGACGATATCAATCTTTTCTGTTTATCATGATGTTGCTTACTGGTCCAGTTTGTGAGGATTTCTGTCTTCTTTATGTTGAGGCATAATCCATACTGAAGTCTGTAGTCTTTGATCTTCATCAGTAAGTGCTTCAAGTCCTCTTCACTTTCAGCAAGTAAGGTTGTGCCATCTGCATAACGCAGGTTGTTAATAAGCGTTCCTCCAATCCTGATACCCCACTCTTCTTCATATAGCCCAGCTTTTCGGATTATTTGCTCAGCATACAGACTGAATAAACATGGTGAATGGATACAACCCTGACACACACATTCCTGACTTTAAACCATGCAGTATCCCCCTGTTCTGTTCGAATGATATAAGAAATATACAGGAAGGTGCAATGACAGAACTTGGTGACTGATTAAGACAAGCAGATGAAGAAAAACTGAGAAAGACATCTCCCATAACATGGCATGTGTAACTGCCTGGACAGGGCACAATGGGGGATGGCAGAATGGAAAGTGGAGGAGGAAAAGTATGGGAGGAAAAAAGTAGCTCAGTTGGAGTTTAAAGTGCCACCAGCAAAATGGAAATGCCCAATAACGATGTGATATGCAGGTCAGCTTTTCAGAAGAAACGTTGGGATCAATTTTTTTTTTTTTTTTTTTTTGGCAGGGGGTGTGGTGAGGTCTCAATTGTGAATGCTTTGGTTAAAAAGCAAAACAATTAAAAATTTGGACAATGTGTAATATAGCTTATACCCATTTACTTTTAGATCTGGGGGTAAATGGACAGAAAAAGAGGGTTACCCACAGATGAGAGAGAAAAGACATAGCAGAAAAGAATGTTAAGATTAAAGGCCATTAAAAAAAAAAAAAGGATCTGCTTTACCATTTTGCCTGGGACTTTGCTGTAACCTTCAATTGAATCTGAGCAAATAAAGTGTGTACAGAGGGGTATTTGTGTTATACACACATGCTTAGTAAAAACATGGATTCCAGCTATAAACTCAAGAAATGACTCTTAAATAAAGTTTTAAATCATTTATCACGTTAAACTTGCTCCCATAAGCAACAAGATATGGTTTTAAAAAAAAAAGAAAGAAAAGCTATTGTGCAATCAAAAGAACCCTACAGTATGAATTTACTTGCATCTTTGAAACTCATCACAAACTTTAAGACTGTGTAAGACACTTCCTTAATGACCAAAAATTAAACTCATATGAAAGAGAATTTTCATAACTTACTTTTCAAGTTCTTCCTGAGAATGGGCAAATGTACAATTTGTTCCTCGTGGACACCCCCCTTGCTGTCGTAGATCTCGGCACATGCTAGTCTTGTATTTACTGTTTGGCTGAGGCTACGAAAAGGAAAACATCAGATGTATGGAAAACTAAAGATTCTAGCTGTTAATCACTCTGCAGACTTCAGAACTTCGTAATTATACCCTTAATTCCCTTTCACATTAGAAATGTAATTCTTGCACTGAACCAACTACTATTCCATTTTAAAAGCATTCCTGTTGTGAGCTATGTGGTATAACTTAGTGTTGGCATTTAGACATTCCTTCTGAGGATTATCTGAAACTGGTTCAAATGTATGTCTATTTATTTGTCAGGCAACGAAATGCCCAAAAAAATAAAAGATTTTCTCATCAATTTATTGCTGTCTTAACATCTAATACCAAAACCAAACTTTTTAAAAGCATTTAAAAAAAAAGGCCATAAGCTTTGTCCACTTAAAACTTTCCCAGGAAAGGTAAAATACAATTTCCCTCTGAAAGTGAAAAATTAAGAAATACCAATTTATTTGTCAACTTGAGAGTATAACTCTCCTCTAAGCTTGGAACTGTTTAAGTTCACACAAACAATGAAGCAGAATATAAAAAACTCACCATAATTGCTGTAATTTGCATTAAAACCTAAAATGTCACTCTTAATTTTGTGACCCTAATAAAATGAGAACATTCATTTTTCAGTTATTATTTGAATATTATGTCTTCTAATAAAATAAGGATAGAAGAATGGAAAGATCACAGATGCGGAATAGATTCAGTCCAAGCTCTGTCACTTACTACCAATGACCCTAGATATGTTATTTAACCTCTTTAAACTTCAGTTTGGTAACAGCAATTCCTTGCAGATGGCTGTGAGGATTAGAAATAATAGATGTAAAATACTGAACGTAGTGACTGGCTCATAGTAATTTAATAAATGGATGTTATTTCTAGAATAAAGGATTATAGCTTAAAAAAAAAAAAAAACCTCCTTCTAATGTACACTGAAAGTTATCTTGATAATTCAAATTCCACACATTTACAAACAAATTCATTTGCATGATGGACTCGACAGCAGTGGGTTTTATTTTAGTGGGTATGCATATAAAACACTTGAACATTGCCAAACCACAATGTTTTCATGAGCGTCACAAACTAGTGCCTTTGTTCATTATTACAAACTATTGTAGTTAACTCAAATTTTTTAATATAATAAGCTTTATGGCAGCCTGTTCTTAAGTACAAGTTGTCCATAAGTCAGACATTCGTAACCTTGGGACTGCCTGTACTTGGTCAAAAACAGTTTGCAGTAGTACACTGAACTCATATCCAAGATACCGTGGATGTGAGTTTGCTGTACTACAAAATGCGTATCAAGGACCCTAAAACTTGAAATTTTCCCAAAACACAGACAATAAAAGCTTATGAGTGATGGTGAACATAATTAATGCCACTGAACTGTACACTTAAAAATGGTTAAAATGGCAAATGTTTTTATATATTTTACCACAAAAACTTATGAGGGAGTAGTCACATGAGGAGAAGTCCATTAACAAACAGCTTGTTAAAATGTTCAGAGGTAACAGCAATTTAAGAAGTGCCATAAATGTACTTACCTGAGGTGTTTCATGGCCTTTTCTACTATAATTCTGTATGAAATCTACAAGCCCATGAACCACTGTTTTAACAGCTACCATTGCATTTTCTAGCTGCTCCCAAGTTGGTGAAACAGCATCTAAAATAAGCCACCGAGGAGATGGGGTTGGGAGGACAGTTTGTTAGCAATAATTCTCTTAAGTTATTAAAGCCAAAGTAGAAAACTTATAAGAAACTGAACATTTTTCCACATACCTGGGTTAGGATCTATGTTTGCAAGAAGCTCTAAATGAGGCCTCAGTCTATTTAAGTTGGCTGGGTCACCTGTTCGTTGTAAAACAATTGTCAGTTCCTGGACACTCTTTGCAAATGATTCTGGAGACTGGAGCTAACAAGCAGAAAAGAAAACAGCTTTTACCATCTATGATCAAATGTTTTCATTTAGTCAAAGTTAAACAGGTTTCCAAGTGCCTTCAGATTCCATAGTAGGAGTATCAATGATGAATTAATTTTCACCTCAGAATCTGCCCTATGAAATTCATCATTAGACACTTGGAAAACTTATTTATAAGCTATATTATTTCTCTGGGGTCAGAATATAGATAAACTTCAGACTTTGTAAGCCTGGCTGCTTTCATTCTGATATTCTGTATTTGCTTCCCCGTTAACTCTCTTAGTTTACTTTGAAAGTTAAAATAATAATAAAAAGAGATATAATTTATAAGAGTTTAGTATATAAAAAGTAGGAATCTCCAACTGGTTGTCTCTTTAGTCTCATTAGAAAATTCAAGTTCTCTTCAACGTAACAGCAATGGTATAAAGTCAACATCTGAAATTTCACAAACCTTATCAATGATAGACTGCATGTGTGATTTATGTGCTAAGTCACCATATAGAAGTGAGGACCACTGCTCTGGTGAAATACGAAGTCCTGCTTCCATAGCAATATGAACAATCTGGGCATCATGTTCTCTGCGTAACGCTTCGTAACTCCGAAATTCCTCCTTCAGTTGCATCAGGGAAGAGTCTTCATCCCTTTTGGTGACCTAAAAAAGGGGAGAAGAAAGAATCGGAATTGGTCTGCTCTTTTCCCACCTCAACCAATTCATTCATTTATTTTTTGAGGGGTGGGGTACCTACCACATATCAGACACTATACAAAGAAGGTACAAAGATGAAAAGATTATTTCCTCACTACAAATTCTTTTTGGAACAAAGCAGAACTTTTATAACCAAATACATACTCCTCGCCTTTAATGAGCACAGTAGTTGGTAGGGAAAAGACTGGTAAACAGAAAATTACAGTAAAAGTGCTATTATAAGGCTATGGCAACATAGAGGAAAAGCAATTAAAGCTGACTGATCAAGGAGGAGAGGAATATCAAAGAAGGCTTCCCTCAGCTGAAAACTACACAAACTGAGTCTCGAAGAATGAATAGGAATTCCCAAGGCAAAGAAAGTAAGGAATAGAATCCTAAAGAGGGGCAAGTGTATGAAATAGAAACAAGAAAGAGCAGAGTACAGACAGCTAAAGGCTAAGATGTAGGCTGGAGAGGAATCATAGAGGGCCTTGTATAGTAAGGAATTTGGGTATTACCCTGAAGGGGATGAGGAGCCACTGAGGACTTTTAAGCAGGAGTGACATGATCAGACTTATGTTTTTAAAAAACACCACTTTGGTAGAAGTAAATGATAGACTGAGAGGTAGATAAGTAAGAAATCCAACCAACCAGTAGGTATATATTAGCACTACCACATGATTAAAATATTTTCTGCCACCACATAAATTATCATTAGAGTATTTATATAGCTTTAATCTATACTTGACTCAAATGATAAAAAAAAAATTCAAAAGTTACAAGAGTTTTACATGGCCTAATGAAGTTGTCTGGATCCCTTGTGGTGCAGTGGTTTAAGAGCTCGGCTGCTAACTAAAATGTGAGCAGTTCGAATCCACCAGCCGCTCCTTGGAAACCCTATGAGGCAGTTCCACTCTGTCCTGTAGAGTCACTATGAGTCAGAATCGACTCAACGGCAACAAGTTTTTTTAAATGAGATTGTATAATTATCCAAACATGCAGGTATCATCCACGATAGATGATATGCACTTATTCCTGAATGAGTCATTGCTAATGGCCACAGGGAAATCTGAAACTTGGTTAGGATTCAGAACATTGAGGACTAGGCCAAGCTCCAAAACTTAAATTGGACAAGTCATTCAAATGATTTGAAACTTAGTTTCCGTATCTATAAAATGAAACTACCCTTCCCCTCACCACCTCACTGGTTGTTTCTATTGCTGTTGTTGGCACATGACAGCAACAGTAATATGCCCCCAAGAACATGAATATAGGGAAATCAAATTATCATCTGAGAGTTAACAGTATCAGTTCACAATAGATGTAATTAATTCTCTTTGGTAATCTATAAACATGTTATAAAAGAGGTTCAGATACCCAAAATTCTCATCAATACAATCTTAGGTATTGTTTTGGTTAAGAAAGAGTACAGTGTGATTATAACAAGTCACAAATCTATGCTCCACTGTAACCTACTTAAAGTAACCTTGAGGAAATGAAAGGCAGAATAATCAACCTAAAGAAAAGAAAAAACAAACCCAAAGAACCAGAAGATGGTAGCACTCATCCAAGCACCATCTAGGTATAAAGTGCCCTGTGGGTAGTGTAAGAATTTACCCATCTGAGTAGTAAAGATGGACAGAGGTGGCTAATAGAGCCTGGTCCTATTAAAGTTCTAATAGTATGCATCAAAATCACTTGTGAAGCTTTGAAAACTACAATCTCAGATCTACTGAATCAAAAAAGCTGGATTTGAAGATCATGTATTAAAAAGTATATATAAATGCTTAAGACTTACTTTAACTAATCAGAATCCCTGGGGATTAGGGCCTGGGAATGTATACTTTAAAAAGTTCCATAGGTGATTCACAAATTGAGAACCATTGCACTAAACATCAGAATCATTAATTCCCCTTGTTCTATGCTTAGCAAGTAAAGGCTTGATACTCTTTTACAGGAAAATCTCTACCAACATGAGAATTCTGCTCATTTAACACTTGTTATTTCTCATTGCATATTAATATAACTGATAATCCGATGTATGTGACCTTAGTTTGGGTAAGTCTGTTTCTGAGGAAACAATCTACTGTCAAAATTCAAATCTCCAAGCCTATAAAGACCAGACCTTGGACAATGGTAAATTTACAAAAGTAAACACCACTCAACTACAGTCTTTTGGCAGTTCAGTTAAGGCACCATGATATCCTTTTGTCCCTCCATAAACTGTGCTTTAACATTTAAAACTACAGGGCTGTGAGGATGAAATGACAGCATAAAATCGAAATCACTTTCTAATTTATTCAAACATCAGATATTAAGAGCAGCTATAGATATGTGACAATTATAAACCACAAATCAGTAGGATACCTATCAGGGAAAAAAGTCCCATGAAGTCAGTAATACACGGTGTGAGAATCTAGTCTGTCACTTCAGGATGACAAATGATCTCTGCAATTTGGCTGCTTAGCCACAACCATGTTTGAGGAACCAGAGATTCATTTCAATCATTGCCCTAAGGACAGGAAATCAAGCACTATGACTATCAGGTAGATAGAGTCCAAGCCTCATTAGTAGAGTTAAGTGAATTCATTTGAACATATTACCAGCATCAATTACTTATTACCACAAACTGAGCAATCTGCCAAGAAAATCTTTTTTGATCTCTCTGTACTATTTTCACTCTTGGGGCTATAAACAAGAAAAATAAGCTTTGGTTTTAAATTCAGATGTTTCACTTTCATAGAAGCCAATGGGCCTTTCTCAAGCCCCAGCCAAGAACCTATACTCTTGTAACAAGCAGTAACTTTAAGAATTCAGTCTGCTTTCCACTTCTCAGTACCTGTCAACACCTACTAGCCTATTAGACAATGAAACTACATTTCTAAATATCTTGGAGTTCTTCCCTGCCCTCTCCACCAGACAAACAACATCTAAATGCAGAGTGGGGCAATCTCCTCAACTTTTCACTTCCTTGTTGTGCCTAAGACAACACAGAGGCCATTTTCAGATTAAAAACTTTAATTCTAATCACTACAGGGCAGGAGATAAAAATAATAATGGGGAAGTTACAATGGTTATCGACTCTTAAGAAGTTTTTAGTATAATTCCTGATTCCCTTTTAAAATGGCAAATGTAAATGAATTAGGCTTCTGTAGTTCACTTTTACTAGACCAACAGTCAAGCTTACCAAGCTAATTTCTTATGCTCTGCTCTGTGTTACTGACACCTTCACATATGTGCTCTTATTCTCAATAGGTAGCATCACAGATGCAATCAATCGGGTGGCGGGGGTGGGGGGGGAGGCAGAGTTTCCTCTCTAGTAAGCATTCTGCACTTTTTCCTGTCCGAGGAAGCCTCTGTCTCACACACAGGTATGTAATCTTTAGATAGTTGTTTACTACTTACCTTAAAACAAGAAGCTCGATACAGTAGTTGCACAACATGACCAATGCTTGTTTTTGATGCCTGAGGAAATCTTGGTTCTAGTCTTTGCACAACAAAAAGTACCAGAACTTTCCTTGAGAGAGCAGAACCATCTTCTAATGCCAGCAACACCAGTTTCAAGGCCTCTTCTTGCATAGCTAGAAATATTAAAGTAGGTAACATCAGTATGTTATAAATGAGGAACCCTGCAGAGCATATCTGTCAAAGCCATCTTTAGGTATCAATTTATGGTGTTCCATTATCCATACAGTTGGTATTTAATTAGCACAAAAAAAAGGACGCACATACACAAATACAATTTACTTGAAAAGTAATCGAGCAAAAGGAAACGTACTTTCTACTAAACAATCAGAACACAAGGCAACAAAACATAAAATATCTTCTGTAGGCATTAATAATAGATAACGATGATGTTAAAACTGAGCTACTCAGACAATTAAATAACATACAAAGTAGACATATATTAAGCTGTAATTATTTTCATGCATGTGACTGTTACATTAACTGTCAGAACTATTTTGTATATAATTTTAAAACAACATTAGCCTCTGGATGGAATACCTAAGGAAGGTATTAACTTCACTCACATTGTTTTCCAGCCAGACATGTACACTATAAGCTGAATTTAATCATAAAAGAATATCAGCAAAACCCAAATTATTAAGAATATTCTATAAAATACCTGGCCTGTATTATTCAAAACTCTTAATGTCATGAAAGACCAGAAAAGGCTAAAGAATGGTTCTAGATTAAAGAAGACAAAAGAAACATGACAAATATATGCAATAAATGATCCTGGACTGGAATTTATACTAGAATAAAGTAATGCTATAAAATACATTTTGGGGATAATCGACAAAATTGGAACGTGTGACTGTAGATTAAAGTATTGTATCAACATTAAATTTCCCGAATTTGGTGCCTACAGTATGCTGTTACATAAGAGAGTATCCTTGTTCTTAGGAAATACACAAGGAGGTATTAAAAGGGAAGGAGCATAAAGTATGCAACCTACTTTCAAACAGTCAAAAAAGGGAAAGAACAATATAAATACAGCCAAATGTAAACAAGTGGTGAACGTAGGTAAAGAGTATTATTCTTGCAACTTCTTTGTAAATTTGAAATTATTTCAAAATTAAAAGTTAATAACATATTAATTCTTAAAATGATGGAAATTTAGAGCTAGAAAGATCATTAGAACCTAGATTCTAGATCGAACTCCTTTTTCCAAGTGAGGCTATAGAAGCCCACAGAAGTTAAGTGACCAGGCCAAGGTAAAACAACTAGTTAGCAGCAAAATTGGAACTAGAACCACAGATATTTTTTTAGATAAAACTCACATAAAATTAACCATTTTAAAGTATACAATTCACTGTGTTGAACAACCATCACCTCTGTCTAGTTCCAAGGTATTTTCAGCATCACAAAAGGAAACACCATATACCTTCCCACAGTCCCTAGCAACCACTAGTCTGCTTTCTGTTGATACGGAATTACCTATTCTGGATGCTTCATATAAATGGAATCATACAACATGTGACCAATCTTTTGTGTCTGACTTATTTCATTTAGCATATTTTCAAAGTTTATCCACACTGTAGCAAAAAACAGTACTTCATTTCTTTTTATGGTTAAATAATATTCCACTGTACACACACATACCACATTTTGCTTATCCATTCATTAGTCATGGATATTTAAATTGTTTCCATGTTTTGGCTAAGTGAATAGTGCTGCTATGAATATTTGTGTTACAAGTATTTGTTTGAATACCTGTTTCCAATTCTTTTGGGTATATACCCAGGAGCGAAATTGCTGAGTCATATAGCAATTCTATGTTTAACTTTTTGAGGAACCACCAAATTGTTTCTACAGTAGCTGTACCATTTTACACTCCCACCAGCAATAAATGAAGGTTTCAATTTCTCCACATTCTTGCCAACACTTATTTTCCTTTTTTTAAAATTCTAGCCATCTTACTGAGTGTGAAGTCATATCTTACTGTGGTTTTGATCTACATTTTCTTAATGACTAATGATGCTGAGCATCTTTTCATGTGCTTGCTGGTCATTTGTATATCTTCTCTGGAGAAACATCTACTCAAGTCCTTTGCCTATTTTAATTGTTTGTCTTTTTATTGTTGAGATGTAGAACCAAGAATATTTCATACTTAGTCTAGTGCTTCTTAGGTTAGGGTAAGTAAACGTAAGGAAAATATCCAGGGGCAGTATTTTTTAATTATATATAAATTTGGATTTTTAAAATTATTTTAAATTAAACTTTAAAAACACAGAAAAGTGGGGGCAACACATACCCATAACAAAGCTGCTGCCAATCAGGTTTCATCTGCTACTTACCCGCTTTTTCAGTTTGTTTTGGCTACAGCAGTTTGAAGTAAATCCCAGACAACATCTGGCTTCACCCTTAAATACTTCAGTACATATTTCTAATGGATAAGGACTTTTTGTTGTTGCTTTCTTAATAAACATCATCACACTTAACAAAATTAGTAATATTTCCTTAATATTACCTAACACTCAGTCCACGTTGAGTTTTCCTTCATGTCTCAAAAATGTCTTCTTATAGTTGGTCTGAGTTAGTATCCAAATAAAGTCCATACACTGCTTTTGGATGATATGTGTTTAGGTTTTTTTTTTTAAACAAAAAAATCTATATCAGTTCCCCACCAGCCTCCATCCTACCTTTTAAAAGAAAATCTTCATTTGCTGAAGAAATAGACTCATTTTTCTAAAGAATTTCCCACATTCTGTGTCTGGCTAATTTTGTTGTGTTTTTTAACACGTTCCTCAATCCCCCTTATTTCCTGTAAATTAAAGGCTGGATGAGATTCAGAATCAGCTTTGTTTGTTGTTGTTTTTTGCCAAGCATATTTCATATTCCATGTATCACATCAGGAAATATATAAGGTATAGTCGTCTCACGTTTAGTAATGCTAAGATTTACCAGTGTATTCAGGCTTTATCCATTCATTATAAATTACCCCATCAACCTTTCAACTAACGCTGTTAAAAAAAAAACAAAAAAACCCACTGCTACTGAGTCGATTCCAACTCGTAACAACCCTATCGAAGAGTATAGCCCCTACAGAACTGTCCCATAGGGTTTCTGAGGCTTTAAATCCTTATGGAAGCAGACTGCCAAATATTTCTCTCACAGAGCGGCTGGTGGGTTCGAACCACCGGCCTTTCGGTCGGCAGCCGAGCGCTTTAACCACTGTGCAACCAGGGCTCCTTATGGTGTTAAAAGCCACTAATAATTCTTGCCTAAGCCCATTAATTCACTTCGAATTACAAAATTGTGATTTTCTAATTTGATCATTTTTTCCCTAAATTTATTAGCTGGAATTCTGCTAAAAGAGGAACTGTACCTCAACACAGAGCAACCATCCCTGAAACAGTATGTACAGGAAAGGCAGAAAATAAATGCTTGAATTTTTTGCCTCTTCAATTTTCAGAATAATGTATTGGTACCTTAACAACCATTAATAATAACCAATCAATTTTCTCTGCAGTATCATTACGAACTCATGGATTTTTTATATATGTTATGTCGATATAGCCATTAGTCATTATTCATTTTGATGTACAAATTCTCCCGTTAGTGACAAGCAGGAGCCCCTTCAAGTTTTCATCTTTTGACAAGACAACAGTATTCTCTGGTAGCTTTTTTGCCTTTTAGCACAACACTTCCCAGCCTCATCTTGTACTTTCCTACACTAGAACTGGAACAAGGCATTTTTCCAAAGAGCCCTGTTTCTTACTAATGGGAAATGGTATATATTAAAGACTCAATTCGAGTGTTGTGGTTATTCATTTCTTCTAGGCTTTTTCAGTCAACAGACCTAGGAAATACACAACTTTCAGAAAGAGAAAAACAAATGAATTCATCGCCAATTCAAACTTAAGATTGCAGGGGCTATACCTAAATTTTCTGATTTTATACTAGTATCTCTTTTTTTTTTTATGCTGAAGATCTTAGTTCCTGATGTCATTAACATAATTACTTGCTTTATCTTACTATGTATCTGTATAGCAGTTCAAAATAACAATATCGATAGAATCAAGAACAATATGACTAGTAAATAGAATTAAGATTTATTATAGGAATATAAAATCAAAATACTGTGTTCTAAAATCATCTAAAATAATTATTTTCTGTATGGAGATGTTACCAACTTGATATATATTTTATTTTCTTTTCATGTTTAGGGATAACTTTATTCATTTTTATTTAAATACTTCTTAAATTTTTTTTATAATTATATAAAACATTTACATGGTTCCAAAGTCAAAAGTACAAAACAAGGTACATTCAGAGAGGGCTAGTGTCTTTCCCTGTCCCCTTTTCCTTGGTTCCTCTCTCTTTCACATAATTTTATTAATTTTTTATTTTTCCTGTCATTGTTTCTTATGGAAAATATAAACAAGGAGATATGATTGCATCTTACTCCCTTTCTTACTTAGAAGGTAGTACACTAAGCACACTATTCTGTACCTTGCTTTTATTTTTTTCACTTAACAATATATCTTGAGATCACACCCTAGCAGAATATACCATCATCCTTATTCTGTTCTGCAGTTGCATAGTACTTCAATGGAAGGAGATATCATGGTTTATTAACCCAGTTCCCTATTAACAGACATTCAGGTTGCTTCCATATGGTTTGCTGTTATAAATAGTGTATTTATAACTTAATGTACTTTCTTCCTTTTGCTGTCAAATGTCTGAGATAGATTCCTAGAAATGGGATTGCTGGGCCAAAGGGTACATGCATAGGTGACTATGCTAGATACTGCCAAATTCCTCTCTTCAAGTTTGTACCAACTTTGCATTTCCACCATTATTGAGGATGAAATGACAAATGCGTTCCAAACTTCCAATTCAGACACAACTATGCCAAGAGTAAATTGTCAAGCTTCTGAATATTTGCCAACTCTAATCAGTGAGAAATGGAATCTCAGTATAATTATAATGTATATTTTTCTTAATATGAGAGAGGTTGAGTATCTTTTTATATGTTTGACGGCTATTTGCATTACTTTATACTATGCATTGTCTGTATGCATGGTTTGTAAAATTTTTGATTGGGTTGTTGCTCATTTTCTTTGGAATTTTTAAAAAGTGCCTTACATAGTCATTATATTAGCCCTTTGTAATATGATTTATAAATATATTAACCCTTTGTAATATGATTTATAAATATTTTTCCCAGTTTGTCATGTCTTTTAACTTTTTGGGTATGATGCATATTTAAAAATACATACATATACACATATGTACATATACACATACATCCGAGTATCATTCTTTTCTAAAAGACAACACAGTAGAAAACTTCATGACCTTGAAATAGGTAAAGATTTTTAAAATAAAACATACATACTGCTAACTATAAAGGAATCACCCCTCGGTGATTTTTATTTTCTTTATAATTTCTATATTTTCCTTTTTTTTTTAATTTGTGTGTGTGTGTGCTTTAGATTAAAGTTTACAGAGCAAATTAGTTTCTCATTCAAAAATTTATATATAAATTATTTTGTGACATTGCTTGCAATCCCTGTAATGTGTCAGCACACTCCACCTTTCCACCCCAGGTTGCCTGTGTCCATTCATCCAGTTTTCCTGTCCCTTTCTGCCTTCTCATCTTTCCTTTTGGGTAGGTGTTGCCCATTTGATCTCATATACTTGACTGAACTAAGGAGCACGTTCTTCATGTGTATTGTTTATTTTATAGGCCTATCTAATCTTTGGCTGAAAGGTGGACTTCGGGAGTGGCTTCAGTTCTGAGTTAGCAGGATGTCTGGGGGCCACAGTCTCAGGGGTTCCTCCAGTCTCTGTCAGACCAGTTAAGTCTGGTCTTTTTCTGTGAATCTGAATTTTGTTCAACATTTTTCTCCTGCTCTGTCCAGATCCCTCTATTGTGATCCCTGTCAGAGCAGTCAGTGGTGGCAGCCAGGCACCATCTAGTTCTTCTGGGCTCAGGCTAGTAGAGGCTGTGGTTCGTGTGGTCCATTAGTTCTTTGGTCTATATTTTCCTATTTTAAAAACAATCAAAAGCTTTTGATTTTTTTTTTCCTGACCAAAAAAAAATGTAGTTTTCCTTTACTTACTACTTGTGTAATCTTGAGGCTCTCTTTAATTCAGTTTTCTAATTTGTAAAATTGAAGCTGTCACCTATCTTAAAGGCAGGCTTAAATGAGAAACTTATTCTCATTTAATTCATGAGAAATTTATTCTAAAACACTGAAGCATTGTCTATAACATGGATTATGATTAACAAAAACTAGTCTATCTCTAATTATGTCAAGATTTATATACATAAAGATGAATTGAGTCTGAGGATTCTTAACCTAGATCTAGAAATTGGCATCCTTAAGTCCTGATACACAGTAAGAAAGGCAGGCAGTCACTGTAATATTACTTCTTACCTGGCCCTAGAAACTGGCATCCTCGAGCCCTGACTGCAGCCCACAGGTTGGCAGACAATTGCTGGGGGTTCTGGTGCTGTAATATCAGTTCTGTTACAGTTCTTTCTCCAAGTGAACGGGCTGCTCGCATGGCTCTTACACGACCTTCTTCTTCTACCAGTTGACAGTTGACAAGTGTCACCAGTTTCCTTTGCATTGGCCGGCTCAGTGCACTCTGGTTCAAACTAGCTACACCTTTAGAAAAATGGAAGCAAAGGAAACTAAACTTTTTTCCAAAAAAAACCCAAAAAGTCAGCTTTCATTATCCGTATTTAATTATTAAGCCACATCTAATGAGTTCCTTTTAAGGGACTTTCATTTTTCCAGCAAGGAGTATACTGCCTATTTATTACTACTCTGTGATAATAAGGAACCATTTTAATTACTTCAGATTTTATTAGGTATCCTGTTCTCTGGGTTGTACATGACCCCCAAAAGGCAGTACTTGGAATTTATATATAGTTTGTACTTCATCTTTACTGAACGATTGAAGGTAAATATAAAATAAAGTGAATTAAAAGTTTAACCTGAAAGTAATCATTGTACACAAGATATTTAGAGTACTGCTAATGGTAAGCTCTTAGATTCTATTTCTGTTTAGCTATTCAATGATTTTGCTTCAGCAATTCTCCAATATCACCAATTTTCCCTCTCTAGTTGACCAACTGCATCAACAATCAGTAAGAACAAGCATCCATCTTAAAAAATAAATACTTTAATTGATCTCTCTTCCCCTGTCAGTTCTGCCCCATTACCTTTCTCCCTTTTCTAGCCAATCCTGAAGAGTTGTCTATATTCACTGTCTCTGATTTCTTGCTTCACAGTCTCTAAAATCTATTTCAATCAGGTTTTTGCCACTGTCACTTGTCAAGACAACAATTAACTCTACTTTGCTAAAACTAACCGTTGCTTTCCAGTTATCTTACCTGGCCTTTCAACAGCATTCACTATAGCTGATCACTCCTTTAAACACTTAGCTGGCTTCCAGAACACCCATTCACTTTGTTTTCTTCCTTCCTTCTTCTTTTCTTTTCTTCTAGTCTTCTTTCTATTTTCATCTTTTCTCCCTGACCTCTTAATGTTAAAAGATCTCAGGACCCAGTCCTTGTTCTCTTCTCGATCTACACTCAATTAGATAATCTCATCTATTCTCATTTTCTTAAATACCATCTTTATGCCAATGACTCCCAAAGTTACAGCTCTTAATCCTCATCCCGTAACACAGAACACTATGAAATATCCAACTGGTCACTTGATAGCATTCAAGTATATTAGACATCTCAAACTTAACATGACCAAAGTTAAACTTTAGATCTTCCTACCTAAACCTGATCTACCTGCAGTATTCCCTGTCTCAGCTGATGTAAACCCCTCTTTTCAAGTGCTCAATCATACTTGACTCTGCTCTTACTGTCATACCCCACATCCAAGCATTTAGGAAATCCTCTTGGCTTCAAAATATATCCATACTAACCACTTCTCACCACCTCCATTGCTACTAACCTTGTCCCAAAAGCTTCTTAATCTATCACCCTGCTGCTATCGTCTGCCATGAATTCCCCACAAAGCAGCCAATGATCCTTTAAAAATATTAGTCAGATCATGTGACTCCTCTGCTCAAAACCCTGCAATGACTCCCCGATTTCACTCAAAGTAAAAGCTCACGTCTTTAAATGGCCTGTAAGTCCACACTATTTCCTCTCATTTTATCTCATCTCATACTACTCTCCCCCTCAATCATACTCCTCCAGGCAAACTCTCCTCCTGTTCTTTGACGATATCAGGCATGCCTAGGGGACTTTGCACTGGCTATTTCCTCTGCCTGAAATACTCTTTTCCAAGGAAATTACAAGGCTAACTACCTCATCTCTTTCAAATCATTGCTCAAAAATCACCATCTTAATGATGTCTCTACCCTATCTAAAATTACAACACCCCCCGGACACCCGTTCAACTCAGTAATGAAGTCACTCCTGAGGTTTATCCTTCAGCCAAAGATTAGACAGACCCATAAAACAAAACGTGACTAATGGGGCACAACAGCCCAGGGACAAGGACTAGAAGGCAGGAGGGGACAGGAAAACTGGTAATAGGGAACCCAAGGTTGAGAAGGGAGAGTGTTGACATGTCGTGAGGTTGTATAACCAATGTCATAAAACAATATGTGTACCATTTAATGAGAAACTATGTTCCGTAAACCTTTATCTGAAGTACAATAAAAAAAATAAAATTACAACGCACCATTCTCCTCTCCTTCTGACGTTTCTGATTCTTCTAACCGCATTGTGTTTTTCACACAGAAATTATTATTTATAATATACTTTCCTTTTGTATTATGCTTACTGTTTTATTGTTTCTCCCTTTACTAAAATATAAGTGCATTGAGCAGATACTTTTGTCTGTTTGGTTTACTGATGTATCCCAAGCACCAGAATAGTACCTGGCAATTAGTCCACGCTCTAAAGATACAAATGAATGATGTGGTGGTTAAGGGAAGTTTCGCAGAGAAAACATTATGTCAAAAATATCCAATGGTGCAAAGCACACAGCAGGTACAAATACCTGATTGCTTCACTCTTTCAACAAGTATTTACTATACCTACAATGTGCTAATCATTGGCTATGCAGTGATGAAGAAAGTAAAAGTTCTACTCCGTCACAGCACTGAAAATAATTTACTATATTTATATGCCCATCTCCCTCAGTATATTTTGGGCTCCATGAAGGCAGTGACTCTAACCACTAAGTGCTCAATAAGGTTTTAATGGATGACTAAATTAATAAAAGTATAAAAGAAGTTGTCTTAATAGAACTTACCAAAACTAATATTCTGCTACAGCACTATTAGCTTAATCAACAGATAAAAACATTGTATAACTCTCAACCTGTAGTATCTGATGCATTCTTAAATTAATAACATTGATTATTTTCAGAAAATAGTACAATCTAATGTTCTCACTCAAAAGTTTTTCCAAGATCTCTCTCAAGCAAACTCATTTTCCAAAACCTGTATCATTTAATAGGGCATCAACATCAAATCTTCCTAAGTATGTAAATTATCAAGTCCTACTCATCACTAAAAACACTTTTTATGAACTTACCTTTTCCTCCACTTAGTGGTTTTAAGTAGAGTGCCAAATCTTCAACACATTTCTTTGCAATTTCATAGTGTTTATTCTCACCTAGATTACTCAACTTTATTGACTGATGATCTGGTACCTATAAAAAATAAAAATTGCAGAAATACATTCATCCAGCCTACGCCAACTATTGCTTATAAACTTGATGGTAATCTTAATGAGTATAAAATTATAATATGGAGATAATGGATCAAAGCCATTTAAGTACAATTAAAACCAAATACCTAGCCTATTTTCCAAGAACATTACACTTAATAGCAAAGACTGGGTGAATTAATAAAGGAGGAAAAATGTAAGTAGTTAAATAGTATTGCATAAATGCTAATTTCTTGGGTTGATAACCATGCTGTGACTATGAAAGATATTAACATCAGGGGAAGCTGAGGAAAAGTTACACAGGTTCTCTGTGTACTATTTTTGCAACTTTTTTTAAGCCTAAAAATATTTCAAAATAAAAAGTAGGGGGAAAAGAGGCAGGGTTTTTTCCCAATAGCATTTAACACCGTCTTACTACCTATTATTTACTTATTATATTTATCGTTTATAGTTTATAGTCTGTCCTCCAATGTTCTGAATCAAAGGTCAAAACTTGAGTTATAAATTGCAGCTCGGCCATTTCTATGAGTGATCTTGAGTAACTTATTTAACTGCTCAAAAATGAAGATGAAAATTCTTATTTCATAGAGCTAATATAAAAACTCAATTTAATTCAATGGATATTCACAGAATGCTTACCATGTACCAGGTACAATTTTAGGTGTTATGGGTATATCGGTAAACAAAAGAGACAAAATTTCTTACCCTTGTGGAACTTACATTCTAGTGGAGACACGGAGAGGCAGCCAATAAATAACAAACATAATAAGCAAGTATTTCATAGAATATGTTCAAAGGTGATCAGTAAAAATTATACAATAAGGATAAGGGGAATTGGGAATGCTGAAAACGGGTTGCAATTTTAACTGGGGTGGTCAGGATAGGCCTCCTTGAAAACTGTGACATTTGAATAAAGACTTGAAAGCTGAGGGGGAATGAGCATTCCTGGCAGAGGTAACAGTCACTACAAAAGCCCTAAGGAGGGAACATGCCAGCCTAATTGAAAACCGGTTAGAAGGCCACTGTGGCTTAAGCAGAATAAGAAGGGCAGTTGTAAAGAGATGGAGAAAAAGAGGTAATAAAAGCCACATGGTATAGACCTATAGACAATTTTAAAGACCAATTGTGATAACATTTATAAAGGGCATGACACAATATCTGACCTATAAAACCAAACCAAACCCAGTGCCACTGAGTCAATTCTGACACACAGTGACCCTAGAGGAAAGAGTAGAAATGTCCCATGGGTTTTTATGGAAGCAGATTGCCACATCTTTCTCCAGTGGAGCAGATGGTAGGTTCAAACCACTGACCTTTTGGTTAGCGGCTGTGAGCTGAATCAGTGTGTTACCTTACCTGTAAACTGAAAAAACCCCAAACCCCTTGCCACCATCAATTCTGACTCATAGCAACCCTTTAGGACGGAGCAGAATTGCCCCATAGGGTTTCCAAGGAGCAGCTAGCTGGTGGATTTCAAACTGCCAACCTTCTGGTTAGCAGCCAAGCTCTTAACCACTGCAACACCGGGGCTCCACCTGACCTATAGGACATGGTAAATGGTAGCTAATATTACAAAAAGTCTATAGTATTTTATTAGATCTAAAATGCCACAATTTGCAAGAGATATCATTATTTTATGCACCTCTAAGAAAATCCTGTTAATAACACGACACACTATTATAGATGTACGCTGATTTGAGTGTCTAATTTGATTATAAACCTTGAAAAGAAATTTTGTTTTAAAAGAAAAACTTTAAATGCCAAGATACTATGGGAATGAAGTATTTTAGCCCACTGAATTTTCTACTAAGTGATTAATCAGAAAAATCCTTACTTTCTTACTTTAATATGTAGTACATGATGAACAGAATTTCATCTTCTTCCTCACCTGTAAAATGGGGATAACTACCTAAAGAGCTATGGTAAGAATTAGTAATAATAGATGCACAAAGTAGGTCTGAATTAAACGCAGGTTATAAATCTAAGGTCCTCCTCTGATTCAGTAAAATAATTATAAACATGTAATATTCATTTTACAGCACCTGAGCATAAGAAACTGTGCAGCATTTTTAACTGATACTCTAGCAAATGGTTTTCTATACACAGATCCTAAATAGATCTTATTTTCTCATTTACAAGATTACTATAAAAGTCAAGTTAAAAACAAAACACCTTCAACTGAGGGTTTCAGTTGGTTGAAATTGGCCAAAATTTTGATTACATTTCTTTTCATATCACCTAATGAATATTTATGTATGCTTATATAAAAATGTTCCTTATCTTATTGTTGATGTGTTGTGAGATTGTTAACCATCGTCATAAGGCAACATCTGTAGTAACTGTTAAATGGGAGACTATTTTGTCCTGTAAGCCTTCATCTTAAGTGAGAATAACAGCACAATTAGAAGAGCGTAGTCAATGTCACTTAAATGTGTATGTAAAAAAAATTTTTGAAATGGCATATCTTTGGCTATGTGTATTTTCACCAAAAAAAAAAAAAAGTTGAGAATTTAGAGGGTTAAAATGTTGTGGGGTTGTTAACCAATGTCATAAAACAGCATGTGTGTTACTGTTACATGAGAAACTATCTGTTCTGTAAGCCTTCACCTGAAGTACAATAAAATATTAAAAAAAAAAAATGTTCCTTATCTACAAAAATCACTTATAAACATAAACTGATCAGAAGGTTGAACACACACAAAAAAACACAGAACTATAAGGGGAATTTACGGTTTTGTGTAATGATTAATAACATTATCTAAAAAAAATCTTCTGCAGAATACATTCATGAAAATAAAATACACTGATATTTTTATTTTACAAATATCACTAAACATCGTTTGCATCCCTTAATGAACAAAGTTCAGTAATTATTACACATACCAGATTAGTAAAATCTTGAAAACTTACCTGGGCTCCAACTAACTGGAGAAGTGCAAAATTGACAGGAAGCACATCAATGTCTGTGTTGATGGCAGTCTGGTCAAAAGGACAAGCTTTTCGGTGAAGTTTATTCAAGCAGGTCTTGCAAACAGTGTGTGAACAACCTAAACTGATGGGTTTGTGCACATTCTCATCAAATTCATTATAGCAGATTGGACAGGACAGAAATTCTGTCCATTGAGCTGCCTGTACAGGCATTGTGGAAGCTGGATGCTCCAGTTAGCAGTCTAGCAGATCATTATTTTGCTGTGTAGTGTTTGGTAAGCTGGAAATGGACAAAAGTAAGAATTAATCATATATTCATCAATAACATTTCATTGTTAACTGTTTTAGAACCTAAAGCAGGTCTGAATAATTTAAATTCTTTGAATGTATTTTTAATCTATTAGCTGAATTAAATTTCTGAACCTTTGTCCAGAAACAATACCTATTACGTGTTTCTTTCAACTAAACCCTATATTTACATTGATTGCTCACATAACAGTCATCAAAGCTTTCATCAAAAAGTATTTGTCCTAATAATCATATCAAATAAATAGATTAACTTCTCACATTCCGGTTGTAGGAACACAAACTACTTTGTACAGCTGACTTTTTTTTTCAAGTGTTCCCCTGAGATAACTACTACCCCAAAGCACATTAAAATATAGCCTAAGAGTTAGTGAAACGCCCTGGTGGCATAGCGGTTAAGAGCTCGGCTGCTAACCAAAAGGTCGGCAGTTCAAATCCACCAGCTGCTCCTTGGAAACCTATGGGGCAGTCCTACTCTGTCCTATAGGGTCACTATGAGTCGGAACCAACTCAAAAGCACCTAACAACAACACGAGTTAGTGAACTTTGGGAACTATTAGAGATGAACAATACCATAGTGAGGCAAGTGTGAAGAAACAGCCTTGCCACCTGAAAAACCAAGTCAGTTAAGGGTATGTTCAACTAGACAGCTTCATTAAGGAGGAAATCACTAGTCAGAACCTGACAAGATGCTAACTAATTGAGATACTGAAAATCAATGTATAAGAGAAGAGTATCACAGAGTTTTTGTTCTCAAATGCTAAAAAGTGAAAAAAATCAATTCAGGAAAGAATGATGCTGACCACAAAATACAGTGCCAAAGCAAAACAAAGAAAGATTTTAATTACTCACATCCATATTGTATTAAAAATTTATTTGAAAATTTTTATTTATTTTGTCGTTGCTGAGAATATACATAGAAAAACATACAATTCAACAGTTTCTACATGTACGATTCAGTGACATTGATTACATTCTTCAAGTTGTGCAACCATTCTCACCCTCCTTTTCTGAACTGTTCCTCCCTCATTAAGATAAACTCACTGCCCCCTAAGGTTCCTATCTAATCTTTCGAGTTGCTATTGTCATGTATTAAAAATCGTGAATGTGGTTCACTATAATTCTCTTAACAAAACTTTATTAGTTAGCAATTGATATGTATTACTAAGAACTGTGAGGCCCAATGAGGAAGCTATAGAAAAATAAAACATTCTTATCATTCTAAGGAGATAAAAAAGCAAAATATAAATTTCTATATATGTATGATTATACTTTGAGAAAAATTACATATGCACATGATTAAAAACTGGAAAAACACATGGGAAAATGCCTGAGTGAGTTTCTTCTTTTCCTATTTCTAAGACTGAAATATTTGTATCACATTTTTTGGTAAAATAAAAGACTTAGTATCAAGACTGCTGTTGTTAGCTGCCATCAAGTTAGCTCCTGACTCACAGGGACCCCATGCGCAACAGGATCGAACCACTGTGATCCACAAAGTTTTTACTGGTTGTTTTTTCAAAGTAGATTGCCAGGCTTTTCTTCCTAGTCTGTCCTGGTCTGAACGCTCCACTGAAACTTGTTTGGCATCATGACAACACGCAAGCCTTTGCTGATAGACCAGTGGTGGCTGTGCTTGAGATACATTATCAAGATTATGTTGCCTTCTAATTTAAAATTCTTATTTAACTAGAATACATTTCATAAATCTCCATCTCTTCCAATTCAAAACTTGCAAAAAGTCAGACAAAAAGTTCTCTGGTGAACATAAAAACTAGGTATTTAGAGGAATTAAACAGCCGGTACTTTGTTCATAGAACTATTTACAAACCAAATTATATTAGTTGCACAGAAATTTGATATTTAAAAATGTAGTCAGATTCAGAAGAAAAAAGTATATAATTGAAAGCATTTCCAATTAACTCAGCATCAAAACCAAGAATTCTGTTAGCCTTTATTATGCTTTTATGTTCACAAAAACTAAGATATTAAAAAGTATCTTGATAAAAATGAAATGCTAAGTAAAAAGCATCCTATACCAATTTTTCTCAAACAGCTCTAATGCAAAATACCTAATATCATTATTTTTAAACTAGCCAAATCTTGCAAGTTATAATTTATTCCATTTTACACCTTCCACATTCACACTGCCACATCTGTCAATATCATCAATCTAAAAACCAGTCAGTTTGCTTCCAACTTTAGAGATGAGCATTAAGCAGGTAAACACATCACTCCCTGCAACTACTTAACATTTTTAGTGTTCACTTAAAAAAAAATTTTTTTTTTTAACTATGCTTTAGGTGAAAGTTTATAGAGCAAAGTAGTTTCACATTCAATAGTCTGTACATAAAGTATTCCACAACATTGGCTGCATTGCCCACATTGTGTCACCACTCTCCCCATCTCTGCCCTGGGTTTCTCATTTCCTTTTGTCCAGATTTCTCTACCCCTTTAATGTTCACTTTTCTAGGTTGTAGAATACTACAAGGAAAAGGCTTTTCAGGAACAATGAATTTTATCTTAAATCTACTACTGACACCCCTAATTTAGTTAGTAACTCAAACAAATAAAATACTTCTCAAAACAAGACATTGCATGTATTTTTTCACGATGGCACCTATTTGGAAATGCTAATTTAGTGGGCTAGGGTATATCACAGGCCACTGTGTAAGAAGAGACTAGCAGCAAACATGCTTTCCTTATTTAGTTTTCCAAGATCATCTCAAAATGCTTTACATTAAAGTAAACTGGAGGGGGCGGGGGGAGGGGGTTGAACCCACGGAAGTTCTAAATCTATCATATTTTCACTTACTATACAGTGCTGAAGTGTTTCAAACTATTCCAGAATATACTTCATAGTTTTGTGTTATCCCATGTTTTTAGGTATAAAAACATCAGAAGTTTTAATACAATTAATGCCTAGAAGTTTAATTTCTATCAGAAATTGAACACCTATCAAATATAAAAAAGAAACTGTCAAATTTTCTTTCCTTATACGATGAGATATAAGGACTTTTGAATATTTTTAAATGCTTTTCTTTGCTACCTTTAATAATAAACTCTAGATTCCTCAATTACATAGACAAATGAAAATAAGACTTTATCTAAAACATGAAAGAAGGTTATAGTTCTGTTAACTAGTTTAACTAGTGATGACAAAATTAGACACTCATTTATTTAAAAATGCACTCTGTAAATTTTTACTAGAAAATATTTTTGTAACTCTCAAAAAGGATAAAAATCCTGTTGTCCTTCTAATTTATTTAAAAAAAAAGCATCTAAACGAACCAAGGACAGCTAAGATATATCCATTTGTAAATCCAGAATCTAGATTTATAATAATACATTATATAGCAACTTATTTGAGTCTACGAAGTCTAAATTACTAACAAAAAAGTTTATAGTTAATAATGAAGCATTCAGCTTAGAATAAGGATAAGAATAAGAAACACTAAATTAGAGATAAGACCTTAAACTTTTACTTAAGAAATTTTTCAGGCTCTAAGTTCCCTTGCTATGAATGCTAAATCATAAAATAGGAAGAATAACACACTTACATATGATGCAAATTATAAACTGCTTTATTAACAGCAAATTGCATAAACACAAGCAATTTCATTTTCTGTTATTTGTGCACTATACTATGCAGCCAGTTCAGGGCTATGGCACCTGATTTTAAAATGCCAGAATAAAGTTTCTGCCTTTTTCACTGTTGTATACGAAGAAAAATACAGTATTTTACAATTCTCTTTATAAAGATGTGAACACTGTATTAAGCTTAGGACTCAGATACATTAATTAAAACAATTTTCATTCCAGTTCACCCATGTAAGGAATTTAAGGGACTGAAATGGACAGTAACAGTAATTCTCAATTTAGAAACCTTAAAAATAATTATTTTTCAACTTAAAATTATATTTAAAGCATAGCTGGTGGAATTTAGAAGCCCCGGTGGCACAGTGGTTAAGTGCTTGGCTGCTAACTGAAAGGTCAGTGGTTTGAACCTACCAGCCACTCAAGGGAAGAAAGACGTGGCAGTACGCTCCCATAAAGATTATAGCCTTGGAAACCCTATGGGGCAGTTCTTCTCTGCCCTATGGGGTCACTATGAGTCAGAATTGACTCATGGGCAACAGGTTCTTGTATTAGGTAGAATTTAAGCTTTAAGCCAAAAAATAAATAAAAAGAAACTGTAAGCTCTAAAATTCAAGTGTCCAAACTGTATCATAAGCATTAAAGAAAAAGAATTGAATCACCAATTGTAAAGGCTCCTACTACATGTGACTTCACTGTAATCAGGGAACATATATGACACAAGTTTTAATTATTAAATCCACTATGGTGTGGAATTTAGTTTTTTTTTTTAATTGTTATAGTTTAAATGAAGTTTACATTTCAAGTTAGTCTCCCATACAAAAATTTATACATACATTGTTATGTGACCCTAATTGCTCTCCCCATACTGTGAAAGCACGCTCCTCCTTTCCATCCAATTCCCCATGTCTATTCAACCAGCTCCTAACCCTGTCTTCCCATCTCACCTCCAGACAGAAGCTGCCCGTTTAGTCTCTTGTATCTACTTGAGCTAAGATGCACACTCCTCATGAGTATCACTTTATGTCCCACGGTCCAGTCCAATCCGTGTCTGAAGTTGGCCTCAGAAACTGATTTAGTTCTAGACTGATAAGAGAATCCAGGGGCCATGCTTTCCGGGGTTCCTCCAGTCTCATTCAGACCATTAAGTCTGGTCTTCTTACTAGAATTTGAGTTCTGCACCCCACCTTTCTCTTGCTACATCAGGGACTCTCTGTTGTGTTCCCTGTCAGGGCAGTCATTGGTGGTAGCCGGGCACCATCTAGTTCTACAGGTCTCAGGTCTCTGCTTTATGTGGCCCTTTCTGTCTC